CCCACGGGTCCCACCCATCTAGAGCTACATAGGCCCTACTCAGCCTTGGACCCCAATGGTCCTCAACCTAAAACAGAGAAATGCTCTTCAAAAATCCTGACTGTCATGCCCAAGGCACGGACTGATCCCCCCTTTATACTCATAACCACCTCCAACGATAGTCTACCGCAAACTGGTGAATGCTACGATCCCATCGCAGTCTTACAACATTTAAACCAACCATGGTTACCACCCATGGCCTTACTTTACCCAAACCATCACAACCCCACTCATCTTGAGTCGAAAACTGCATCCAACTATATCCAATCAGGTGTTTGGGTCATGTTTCAAACCCCAAAGCCTTCATCATACAAGAACAGGCAGCGAGGCTCTAACACAACCCTCAACCTGGATCCATTCACAAGCCTGCTATAAAGAAGACAATGACCAACTGTTGGGAGAGTCCTGAAATCCCAACTTACACAACTTCAACCCAGACGGCCACTTGGCTTGTCTCTCCTCCTGGAAGGGATGCGAAACTTACCCTACTTTCACATCTGATCCAATTCCCAAAAATTGTGATCGATTCTCCCCCACTTGGACTCGTTGAAGCTCTCCTATCTCATGAAATTTGATGGATTCCCAACCCATCTTATCTTCATATAACATGATCTGACTATGACCTGCACTTACCAATACTAGCGTTCCATTACTAGCCAAACTCGATGCTCACCCACCCTTGAAATCCAGAAGAATACTCTCGAAATCTTAACAAGTCTGATAATCCCAATCAGCTACCATGATACCGCACCAATTCCAAAGGTCCTTTATGCTGATGACTTAAGACCAACACCCTTGCTCTGAATTGGCAAATCTTCACCCAGACTTCCCATCCTCAAAAGAATTTCTGAATTCTAACCATCTACAAGCCTTGCGGTAATAAAATTCCCATGGCACTTCCAATGACCAAATGGATCATGCTATTGTCACCACCATCTCCTTGTTATCGTTCCTTCCCTAGCAACGATAGTGATTGAAGCCACATGATCTTCCATGGACAACTAACGGTCAAACCAAAACAAATGTTAACACGCATGAACTCTGACTTTACTGAAGAACTAACCCTACTGACTCGACTAAAGATATCTTTATCAATCCTCTGAACTGAACCCAACAAAGAACCAGAACAACTCCCCGTACAATTGAATCCCGCACCTTAAAATACGACCCTCTAGAGACTCTTGGCATGAAAAAATGGCATATAACGGTCCTGCAATAGCACTTGATGGAACCCTGGTCTCCCCCGAATGACACTGCAATACTCGGCTCCTCCTAGCTGGGGCTCCAGCCCCATCCTCACGACCATCAGCGACCCCCAAAGTAACCAGAGCAAGTGCACTCACTGCTCCACCCCTCAACATCGGACAGTCGGCCTTTTTGTGGCCCACTTGATTGCAGCAAAAACATAACGAGCTTGCCCCCTGAGGACAATCCCAACTGACAAGACCAATCCTTCCATACTTGTAGCAGCCCATACCCCTAGAACGACAAACCTCATCGTAATGCTTCCCGCACGTGCTGCACTGACCACGACCTTGCTGGACCCTCAGTTGCTGATCTAAAGTCTTGGGTCTCTTTGCAGGACCCTCAAATACATGCACATGCTTTACCTCCTTCTTCCCCAGGTGCTCCAAATAAATCTCCTGCTCCTGGGTTACCCCGACCATCCTATCATCCATCTGAATAGCCAAGGTCCGACCCCTGAACCCGACGACCAATCTATAAGTGACACGCCCAGTGATGTCGGGTAACTCCTCGCGTAATGCTCGCAAAACCTGCATAAAAATCCAATCATGGGATCGACCCTCCTGAAAACATGGCGCATAACCCACCTCCGATCCCAAATGACAAGAGTTATCAATAGGATCCTCCTTCCTGAAGGATTTTAGGGATCCACAAGATTTGGGCTCCAAATGAGCCCCCAACTGCCCCCTACAATCTCGGCCCGAAATGCCCCGAGGAGTCCATTCCAGAATACCGTGGGTAATCTCCAATGAGATAAACTCCTGCATGCGCTCATCAATCGGCTTAGTACTTGCACCAGAGTCGGAACCAGAACGTGAACCCCCTTCCTGAGTGCTCAACGCCATAATGAAAAAAAAACATGCAAAAGATCATAACATAACCAAAAATCCTCATCCCACAGACTTCTTAGATTTTCCAAGACTCTCCCCAATTCGAGTATGAATCATGTGCTTTCAATAGTAAGGTCCCAATACTACCTTCCACACCTCTCCATAATTTCCTCAAGAATCATCCCAAATCCTCCAAGTCACCTTCTGAAACTAATACTCCAAGAACTCGCTAAACAACACAGCAAAACCCACCGAAGCATTTCCTAGGCTTTCCTAGGTTCCCGAACTCACCCTGCCATCAGCTGCTAAAGTGCTCCCCATAATGCTAGTTACATACCTCATGAATATAGTCACATGCAACAAAGCTTAGATAATCCTTCGAGTAACAGACTCATACCTACAACGGTTGGACTCAAACGAGAGCTGCACAATAGGTTCAAATCAATCACTCTGATATTATTCAACCTTTATCACATGTGACTTAACATATTCACTTAGCAACCAACTCTCATTATATAAGAGTCCCACAAAATACAAAGCAAGCAACATTCGTGCGGTAAAATTCCGACCCATAGGATAATCAAGAATATCTAACCTCACACACCACATCTCATGCTAGGAACTTTCACTCTCGCTGCCGATTGCCTTACACACAAATTATACCCAATCTATCTTCCCATGCTTCCTAAGCTACAAGGCATCACATACCAGGCCAATCTAACATAGACTAATCAGAACTAGCATGCAAGTAACAAGCTCATACAATAGGCACACAAGGCATCTCTCCTAGCATTATATCATGCAAATACTGAGCATATCCATGCCCTAACTAGCGTGCGATTCATAGATTCATAAATAAAATCATATCAGATAACATGTATGGGTATTTTGGGAAAAACTTACTTGAGCTCGGTTGATTGCATGCATCACACCCTTTCTTGTCTTAGAAAACTCTTTTCTAAAAAAATATGTTTCTTTTTGAAAAACTTTGCCAAATCCTCAGATTGAGTTCTGACACATTCGAGAGTATGTCCGAGTCCCTCAAGCCAAGGCTCTGATGCCAACTTGAAACGTCCCAAAAATAGACCCGAAATTTCTCATTTTTTAAATTACTAAAGTAGTAAATCATATCATTTTCATAAAACCAAGGCAATCAAAGCTTTATCAATACATCATCGTTATCAGAGTAAATCATAAAATGTGAAAACATGTGGTGTCTGCTCTGCAATCATCCCAAGCTCTTCCCTTTGAAAACAGAAGTACCTGAAACATAAACTTAAAAACGGAAGCACAAAGCATAGTGAGTTCCCCAAAATACCACATACCATACATACATAACACATAATGGGCCCGCCCTAACTAACAAACGGGCCCCGTCCAATGAGTATATTGGGCCCCGCCCTAACTCGCATAACGGGCCCCATCCAATGAGTATAATGGCCCCGCCCTAACTCTCATAACAGGCCCAACCCATCTACAATTCATATAAACATAACAAGTAATAGCATACAGAGTAACCATCGAGCGCCGTCTAGTAAGCATATAGGCACATTTACATATAAGTATCAAACAGACAATGAGTATTCTAACATAAAAAGTCATGGGTCGGCAGTGGTTCCTTCGACCACGTAAACATTGTGAGGAAACCCTGGATGTTGGTTCGACAATTCCCCGAGCTATCAATATCAAATAACATCCAATTAACAATTGGATTCCAATCGATAACCATCAGTCCATAAATAGGGTAAATGACCAATTTACCCTTTACCTAGTTTGGACCAAGACTTAGGCCCAAACCTATAATCCAAAAGGCCAAATAACCAAAATAATCATACAAGGCCCATTCATGGACCGATTTTCCAAATTGGGCCCAAATCCCTTCCATGGGCCTTAGAGCAATGACCAACATATTCCCAGCCCAAAAACGCAAGAATTCAAATGGCCCAACAAGCCCAAAGCATCAAACCCAAAGACAATGGCCCAAACCGAAGATCTAAAATTGCGAAGCCCAACTGAATGAGTATGCGGGACGTAGTCGCTCTAGGGATTGTACGCTAAGGGTACCTGCTTGTACGCCCAACGTACCCTCGCATTCAACCATCTTCCCCATTTCATCTCTCTTAATCCCTTAAGACTTTACTCCCTATGTACGCCGTGCGTACTAGGGTTTTCCTCAAACCCTAAATTCATCCGAAGGCCATAACGTTTTGATTATAAGTCCAATTTCGACGATCCTTATATCCACGAAAAGGTAACGAGAAGCTCTACGCTTTTATCAACTCATACCTACCATAAAATTTCCCGAACACAAATCCAATTTCCATAGAAGCCCGAGTTGTCACTTTACAAAATACCCCTTGGCTCCAAAACACAATCCGAACACCCAGATCATCTAAATTACATCACTCACTCCCAAATGGGTAACTATTCGGGATAGGGAATTACATTATCAGTGCTTTTTGAAAGTCCCATTTACCTTCAATGTAGTATTCCTTATTTAGTGTGATTATTCGATGTCTAACTGGAAGAAATTATGGACTAAATAGGGCAAAACTCTAGTTATATTCCCTTTTAGCAGGATTGCATTATCATATGAAGGTGGATTATACATTGTCACTATGGGAAGAATTCACTGTGTATATTAGTCATGCAAAGAAAGCTACTGAGATCACAAGTGCGAGATTTTAGAGTTTGGTGCTTAGTGAATCCTATCAACAAGTAGAAATTCAAGTTTTAGAAGGAGTGGAAGTTGTTGTATTTTCTCATCTCCAGATTCCTAAAATTCTGGTTGATGATCCCAAAGCTTTTCCAGTAATTCGAAGAATACCAGATGCTATGTTGGAGTTATTTCCACTATCGGATCCTGTATTAATTCGATATTGTGAAATGATTTTCGATATTCCCAAGGTTCCTACACCCAAGAAGACTAAATTCAAGTTGAAGGGAAGTGTGGTGATCCAGGAACCCTCTAGTACGGAGAAACCACAGAAGAAGCGTAAAGCTACTGTGTATTGAAGACGACGGCTAGTAAAAAGCACATCACTAAGCCTATGAATAAGAAAAACAAGATTGTTGAAGTTAGTGTTCTTGGTACTCCTGATGAGGATGAAGCTACTGACATGGAAGATATTGATTTGTCTAAGGGACAATCTTCACAATACTATCATGAAGCAAATGGAGATGATGTAAGTCCTTTGATTAATGATGAATTTCTTTATGATACTCCACCAGTTTCACCATAAAAGATTGCCACTATAGAATATAATATCGAGGAGATACGGAATCCGGATATCACTGTGAACACATCTAATGTGGACACAAACATCAAAACTGATGAAACACCTTCACAATCTCTTCCTCAATCTACTACAACTGTCAAACCACTAGAGGTTCCTACTACTAAGTCCATTTCGGAGGTGGAAAGGACTTTAGATATCCCTGAACGCACATCTCATGCTGACTCAAATATCAATATAGGTGAGATATCTACAATTTATTCTTCAATAGTTATACCATTATCTGATTCACCACTTAAAGTCTCATTGCATAAATTCACATCTTATTCTCCAACTTATACGGGTATTCTTTCTCACTCGACTACCTCTTTATTTTCCTCACAGTCTACTATTCACTCACTTGATCACAAAAAGGATATTCCTCAAAATATGGAAGATGAGGAAGATAAGGGATTTGGTTTCGGTGAATTGAATTTTGATCATGAAGAGGAAAATATTTTAGATAAAACTTTCATGTTAGGAAAACAGTATAAAATCCTTAACTCAAAGATGAATATGATTTTACAGTTCATTAATGATTTTATAGGGAATAGTTATTTATCTGTCAGCTCGAAAGAAGTAGTTTCTTTTTTGAAATCCCATGAGTCGAAGGTTAACTGTATGGTGCAAGGAGTAGTGTTTGATCTTCATGACAAGCTTTATTACAACTTAAATACTGTTCAATTTGATCTCACTAAAGTTCGCAATGTTGCAACCCGAGCGACATGGGATCATTGTGAAGAAATGGTATGAGTTCAAGAAATCTGCTAAACTAAAGATCAATGAAGTTTATGATTTGCTCAGTATTAAAGTAAAGAAGGTTGATGGTATGCTCCTTGGTGTCCAAAAGAATGTGGATTGTATGTTGGTTGCTACTCGTACTTTGGTGGAAGATATTCACGCATTTAGTATTGCATATAAAGAAACGCTTGAGAAGAAGAAGGAGGGTGATGAAACTTTGCTCAAGGGTATTGAGACTTCTATCAATACTTTCTAGGAAAAAAATCTCAAAGGTTGCATCTGATTCTGGATCTTCAATATTTGAAGCGCATGTCAACAAAGCTGTTTTTTCGATTGAAGCCTGTCTCAAGTCCCTACTTTCACGCGTCCTGGATCTAGTAATACGCCTACCCATAAATGCTCCATGCGCTATGCAAGTTTCACAAGAGGGAGAAAAAGGTAGTTCATTAAAGAATGGAGGCGAATACAAAGTAAAAGTGGTTGGTAGAGTCATTTCTTCTCAAATTCCTATTCTCATTCCCACAAAGCCTGTACAGACAACAATAACGACAACAACATCAAATCCCAATGTTGAAGTTGGTATATCGAAGCTTCAGTCAAAGAAAAAATTAACAATCAATGAAGGAGGAAGCTCTTCGATAATCAAGCTTGTTGGTACTTCAAGTAAAGACAAAGGCAAGGGAATTGAGCCACTAGAGGAAGAGAAAAAGGAAAGGATAGAGATAAAAGTTGAGAAACTAGGACAATTAAATAGTTTCATGAGACAAAGTGCGAATGATCCACCTGGTTTGAACAAGGATGATGTGAATAAGGTGTGGAACTACGAAACAACAAAGTCTATAGCTTTTGGAGAAGCAGAAGCCTTTGAGAAGTTGCCATAGGAGAATTTTGCAATTGAGAATTCACCAATGTCTCAACTGGATTTTCTTTTCAATCCAACAATGTTCATATTTATACAGTTTAAGCTAGCTAATAATTTTCTTGAAGATGAAAATTTTAAATACTTAGAGATGAGGTTTCATGTTATTTCGGGACAAAAGGAAGAACATATATGGTCCTTGAAGAAAATAAAAAAGTTGCTATTTATATCAAAGAACGTTTTGTTTGAAGATCATTTGTAGAATTATTGGTATAAGGTGATATGAGCTGACAATTGTGTTTGTGAGTTCACTATTGTTGACTTTCCATTGATAAACTTGAATGATCTAATCACATTGGCATATATGATCAAAATGTTGGATGATAAGCATGTGACAGATAAAAAGGTGTATGTAATAGGATATGCCTATCTTATAAATTACATTGATTGCTATTTAGCGCATCTTGGTCTTAATTATCTGACTTCGAGATAGCCAAGTCATACAATAAGCCTAAGAAGAATCCGTAGACTACAATTTACAATGTGGATTTGGAGCAATATGATGATGAGGAGATACTATTGAAACCTTGAGAGTAGCATTTCAAGGAAAAATGATTGAGGGAAAACAAAGAAACATTTCTTCTACACAGATGTGAAGGATATGTTTTTAACAACAAACTTGACCAATATTTTGTACAAAATTGGTAATTGCATATTGGTTGCTAATAGATAGGAGATTTTCAAGAATGTATGCTGGTATTTTGAAATAAGAAATATGATAATGGAAGCAGTGAAGACACTACCAACCGTTTGAATCCTTGAATACTCTTCGCAAAGGGGAGAATACATAGTTCATATGCTGCAAAGATATTCATATACGAAGTCTTGATATGTAATGTCATAATGTAGTCTAGTTGTTTATATTGAATTTATGTGACTTCGATATATCTATGTATTTCTAGGAGCAATTTTATTTTGTACTTAATGTCAAAGTCTCCTAGTACATTTTGTATATGTTGATAGCAATTTAAATAATGTTGCAACATAGGTTACTTAAAACGCTTTTTTACACATCATACATTCACTTGTAACCTTGTTGCCTTCCAGATAAGATGAGCTGAACCAAATTTATATACTTCGTGTGTTTATATATCTGTTTGTAATTGATACTTGATTGAATTCTTTACTTTTCAATACATTTATGGGAAATTATTGTTTGTAACATGGTATCAACCCCTAGTCGATCCTCAAGCAACATATTTTTCCATCGTGTTTGCCTCTCTCGTCTTTTACATTTGTTAATTGTTGATCTCATTTACTGCCACTCAAGTTCTTATGCATATGTTAACTGCTTTCCTCATTTATAACATCTATTAATTTTTATGCTCAAGCAACATATTTTCTTAGACACAGATTCTGCTAAATACATATTTGTAGAATACTCTAAAAGGTTTCTTATATTATTGAATACAAACCCAACAAAAATATGTTTTCTTATTCCACTAAAAGCTAAGTTATCAGAAAGAAAACTTCTAATGACAAAGCAAGTGGGAAGCACATGGAACTTGAAGTAGCTCAAGAACCATAACCTTGTGTTATTAAGGTTGATACTAGTTTTAACAGGAAATTGTTGAGCATGAATAATAGCTATTCAAAAACACAAATTGTTCGCATATCTGGTAAAAATCATCCATAAGATGAGAAATATGAAATCTCTTATGGATGAGTTCTTCTTGATGTTTTCTGGAAAATCCATCAACTACCAAAATTCTATATGAGACTTTGAACCTGATTAATGTCTTAGAGTCATGAACATTAAGATGTAATCCATGTATAATAATCAAGTATGGGCTTGATTAATCTTCCTCTGTATAGTAAGGATAGAAGGAGTAAGTAATTCTTTTAGAAAGAATACAAACATGGAGATCTATACACATTTAGCAAGGGTTGTTATAAAACGCTTTAATCATACAAATGTCAATGACTATGATCAAAAACTTTCTCAAGTAGTTGTGATTATATCAACAATGATATTACTTACAATAACTACATACTTTGATTATTAGATATGGAAAATAGATTTTAAGAAAACCACTTTCATTAATAGACACCTACTTGAAGATGTCTATATAGCGTAACCTAGATGTTTTCTTAATCTAAATTAGCCTAATATAATTTGTAAGACTTAACATCTGTGTTTACTAAGAACTAGTAGGAACATAACGATATTCCTAATCTTGTATTAATGAGACCTACTTAATCATGAGAAATTACATTCCAGATATGCAAGGCCGTTTCGACTTGACTCAGAAAGTGTTTCTAAGATGAAATACTTAAGAATACAAGATACATTCTTGGAATGTAAAATCTATAGAGATATATAAAGATGAATGTTAAAAGTTTTATAAAATCCTTATGTATATGTTGACAATATCTTGAAAGAGATCAAGATATAAGATTCCTTTGGATGAATCTTAGCTTTTCCACATAGCACCATTTTGAGCTAGCCTCAAAATAACCTAGTACATAGGTTTGAGCTAGATAAAATAATTTATATTGTATTTTCTTTGACAAATGAATCCATCATTTATGCCATATTTTTCACAAGAATAGGTATATGATTAATGTTGTGAACATATTATAAGATACCAATTAAATACATGGGTAAGTCATTGGATGAAAATAAGGACATTCTAAGAGTACTTTAGAAGAACTAAGAGAATGTATATAAGTTAATCAGTTTAGAAGAAAATCGTTATGTAAAGAGATACACATGATGTTGACTACAAAACAGATAGATATAATCATGAATTATAATTGGATTATGACTTTATTATGGATGAAAAATAAGTTTTGTTGAATGAGGACCAAGCAAGACATAATAACTCAGTCTAATACAAATTACATTTCTACTTTAGAAACTACAATCAAATATGATTAGATGAATGAGTTCATTGAAAAACTAAGTTGAGTCATTCCATTCAAGGATAATCTAGAAAACTTTTGTGACTTCAAGACTATACTTAATCAAGATAAGAGACTTTAAATCGCATCAAAACGCCAATCATATTCTCCAAGAAATTAACTATACTTAGAATAAAGTTAAATATGGAGATGATCATATTCATAGAATTCACACAAATTAAGTTTAGTCAGACCCATTAATAAAATCTTTCATGTGAGCTAAGCATAAAAGGTCAAGCTTGATTTAGGGATTTGATCTGGATTTAGTATTTGGATATCACTAGCGGTTAGGGATCCTTTATCCCACTAGCACATACAAGTGGCATGCAAGTGCTATTCAAATATGACTGCGTAGATTTGAGTTTAATAAGGGGTCTTTGATATTTTTATAATTCTAGTTTAA